AGTTTCATAAGTCATCACAAGTTCAAATATATATATTGTATTATTATATAATATTTTATTATTAAATTTGACATTACATTCACGTGATATATATTTCAGAAAAAAATATCAAAAAAATTTTAACACTTTTATGTAACATTTTTTGAATTACAAATGCAAAAGCATAAATAAATTTTCTACTTTGATCTCATAAATTATGTTTCACAAAAAAAAAATAAAAAGAAAAAGAAAAAGAGAAAGAAAAGGGGAAAAATCGGCTTAAGGCCATAGAAAATCGATAATGCACGGTACACACCTACATTCGAAACTCTAAAAAAGCCTAAAATGTTCCGGGTGCCGGAATATCGACGAAGATATTGCGAAAATAATGAAATGGCACATGTCCAAGAGATCTACCGAACGTCCATCGAAAGGGTAGCGAAAGACTGGCTTTCAGAATTGGCTGACAGCCAATTCTCGTTCACCTGATATGTCTATGCCGTGAACGTTTAAATAATACTGTTACACGACAAATATCGAGTTCACTATCAGACGAAAAAAACCGGAGATCATGTATCGCGTACAATCCTTTTAGGAAGAAACACGTAAACGTCAGAAAGATCTATGAGCATCGGTGGATTCACGTGTTGCGTGTCTGTTGCTTTTTTTTTCTTTTTTTTTAATTGTGAAATCCATGTCGTGGCACGCAAATATTATCAAACAAAATTAATTATTAAAAAGATAGAAGCAGTTTTAATTATACGTGTAATCGCGTGTGTAATCAAATCAATATGATAATTTGAAATATTTCGATAAAGAATTTTTTTGAGAATTCTTTCAAAATTTTAAAATTCTAAATTCTATTTAAAAACAAACATTAATAATCTTATAATCTAATAATATATTAAGGAAATTCTATTCATTTAGGAAATTTTATAATATAATTTTAAAAAAGTTAAAATTAACTTTATGCACATATATTTTACATATATAAAAACAATGAAATTTGATAAATAATCGGTATTCAAAGGATTTTCGTGATGTACGACACGCCTTCTGCAAAATTCAATTAGAGTATGTCAGCATCGATTATCTCATTAACTACTATATCTGCGTACTATTAGGTGATATGTAAACTATGTCGATATCAGTCATCGATGAACAGGAAAATGCAATCAGAACAGCCGATGCGCAAAATTATCAATTTCATGGCAATTGATTGGAATATAATTTAATCTGAAGATTCGAAAATCATTGTCGAATGTACATTTCTTGAACAATCATAACGATTTGCAACCAATATTAATCAAGTGCTGGATAGAAGCACAATAGAAAAATCGTCCTGAAACTATTTTTCTAATAAATTAGAATAGAAAAAAGGTTATACACGTGGTAGATAGAAATATGTCATCTGCAAGTAGAGTATGAAGTTTATGACAAATTTTGAATATATATATATATCTATTGTAGAAGTTATGTATGTCTACTCTGGAAAGGAAAAATTGCACGATATTTCTTTTTCACAATTCTTTCTCACAATTCTATTATTAGTTACCAATACTTAGTTCAATCGAATTTTCACCGTGTACTTATGTGGACAAAGTTTGCAACCAGAGCAAAGCTGACAAGTAACTACTTGATGGGCTAACGTGGTTCCAGGAGACCATGTTGCGAAAAGCTGGACCAACCACCAACTTGTCCTTGATGTTCCTGTTTAAGTTTCCCGTAGTTATAGCTTTTGAATAATAAACGCAGAAAATTATATAATTAGAATAATAAGTCAAAATTTCAAAGTTATTGATAATATATATTTGAAAAAATTGAGAAATATAGATTTGAGATAAGGATTTGAAAAGTTGGAAAGAATAATTTAAAAATTTTTTAAATTTTAATTTTAATTTTAAAAATTCGACTTAAAATTACTTCAGAGGATTTCTTGGATTCCTTAACGTATGTAATATTTATCGTAAAGCATTCAATTTGCATCTCAGATTATTCTTTTCTCAAAAATAAAAAATATTAGACTTATATATTTCTTAATATCTTCATCTTCAAAATCAACCAGATATAAGAATCCACGACATTATGTTCGAAGTTAATATAACTGTAACATATATTTTGTACTTAAATTTATTTTACGTTGATATCGACGATACAATCGGCAAATCGAATTATCGATAACATCTTGATAATATAATATTGATCGATAATGTCATTGATAGTAATATCACTACTCTCGGTACATTGTTTGATATATCGATGTCGATATGTTAGATGTGCGACAAATATATATATATGGACAATCGAATATTGTCGATTTAATACTGTTTCGTTGAACAATAATTTCTAATTTAAAGTTTATTGTTTTTAACAAATAAAATTGACAATAGATATTTCGACACGTGGAATGATGCAATTATTGATCTTTCTGGAATTAAGAGAAATTCCAGATTGCTAATCCATGATAAGATATATGTATATATTTAATTAATCGCTGATCACTCAATAAAACAATGATTAAAATTAAATATAATTAGAATGAATTTATTCGAAAAATTTCAATAGTAAAGAATCGAAATGGTGGAATTTCTATTACAATGTAATGCTGAATCATTCTATCTATTCTGAATAATGCAGTTCACGTTCTAATACGTAAATTTCAATCATTACGAACCTATGTCGTGTAAGCTATTCTGCACGCATACAATTCACGTACTTGGCTGACAAATTACTTGTTACAGTTTCGAGCAGAGTTTCAATTACATTGCAAAAGTTGAGTGTAGTATCCAGACCAGTTCATCGTTAATCTTCAAATCTCGACCATTACTTATTGAACTTTTGGTTCTAAAATTATCTCTCTTATTAAAATGATGTACTTGTACGTTTCTATCGAAGTTAATGATAACGTTAATTGATAACGTTATCATCGATTCATCTTTTTAAGGCTATATTAATATAATATAACAATATATTATATTCTATAAAATAAGGATTATTGAATATATCATTGCTTATAAAAAAATAAAATAAAAATATAATAAATGGGAAGAATTAGGTGACCATTACTTCATTCTGTTCACCAGATCAATTGCAATCTTGAGTTTGCAAGCTTTTAAAATAACATTCTTTGAAAACATAGAGAGAAATATATTGGTCTTCTCGAAATAATTCTGAATAGGAAATAAGCTCTTAAAACATCAATTGAAATTTTCATTCGATTATATTCAACACATTTCTTTCCACAGAGTAATAGCCCCGAATCCATATCGCTTGCATTCAATACTCTACCACTTTATGCATAAGAAGACATAAATTATACATGAGTTGTTGACACGACAAACAACTTGAAAGGAATGAATGCCTGAAATAAGTCGATAAAATATTAATTCTTACTTTATTTAACTTTAGATGCTGCTGAATGAATATTGTTTTTTCTTATTTTATTATCTTTCCTTGTTTAATTATCTTAAATAAAATAAATTTGCAATGACTTTATTTAAATTAGATTGCACATTATATATTGTATCTAGAAATTTTCGGTATTTAGAAATTTTTCTAAATCAAAATTTCAATTTTAATTTATTTTTCATTTTGTGAATTTCAGTGTTACAAGGTCTCAGTTTCTCGAGTTTCTTCTACATAATTTAAAGTTGTTTATATTGAGTTTATGTTTTTAATTAAAATATTTTTAAAGATCAGAGATTATATTATTCGATAATATGTAGTAATATTTCTATTAAACAATTTACATAACAGGATAGTATTTAAAATATTAAAATTTGTATATCGTTCAATTGAGAAATTAAATAGTCGTGATCCTTTCAAAACAAACACATCACTTTATCCTCGTACGACTTAGATTAACTTGTTTAAAATTTTAAACGAATGAAAGTACTCGAGAAGGAATGTTGAAATGGATTGCTCGACGTTTCTATGGCTCTTTTAGGGTAATCACTTTAAGGTAATCGCGATTCTGAGTATGCAGAATATTAACTGAAGAGTTATGCTAATATTTTGGAATGGTCGGTTACAGATAAACTTTTCATCAAATAAAACAATAATCTCGACTATTGGATTTTCCTTATTGTTTATTATAGAAATCGTCCTGTTTGCAATTATATTATATATATTGAGTTTGTCTCGTGATATTTTGATATAAAATATTATTTTGTTAAATTTATATTTGAAAATTGATAATAATGAATTTCAATTTTGAAACAATTCCAAATTTTTCATTATTTAAAATTTTTCAAAATTTTTATATTTTGAATCTTGAAATTCAGATAAGTCCTATAAACTTTGATAAATTGTGAAAATTTTGAAAGGTTTTCAAGTTTTGGATATATTAATACAAAGATTTTAAAGTCTTGGAAACTTGATAGATATTCACTATCCTATGATGTATGCTATACATATATATTATAATACATAAGATATTGACTAGCCATAGAACTTTTAAAACCTATCAATATTTTTAAAACTTCCAAGACTTTCCGAATCTGTAAGACCTTAGGGATCTATCAAGATTGTCAAGATTTATCAAAACTTTAAAGATTCTTAATCTTTTAAAACTCAAGATTCAAGATTTTTATATAAATACTTTTATCAAGTAGTTTTATCAAATCAAGTTTTCATTATTATTATTTTAAAAAATAAAACTAATAAATATTCAATTAAAAATTTCATAAATAAAGGATCTTATTATCTGTGTCTCTTTTCTCTAAAATTCAATTATTTGTATTTTGTATCTCAATTATTGCTAAATAATATAAATAAATTGTTTTCAACTAATATCATGTAAGATATTAGTAGAATATTTTCTTTATATTGTAATAAAAAAGAAAGTTCATTTTTAAAGAAAGTTATGGAATTATAGAATACATAAATATCTACATATAATACTATACATATACATATAATAAAACATATAATATTTATGCACTTATATATATTATATTTTTTTATGTTTTTATTTATTAATTGTATATTTATCTTATATTTTTTTTTTATTTCTGTTGCAGATAGTATGATATTTTCGTGAGACGGAAACCAAAGGTATGTAAATATGTATGTTAATATTTCTATATATATATATATATATATTAAGAAAATGAAATGTAAATTTAGTATGTAAGTTTTTTTTCAAAAATGATATATATAAGTATGAATGATCACAGAAATAAAGAAAAAAGTTCGAATTTCTTATTAATATTATAATTTTTCTAATCAAATTTCTAATCAAATTGATAAAATTGATAAATGACAAAAACACGAATTTCACTGGATCATTTTAAATTGAACAATTAAAATACTTTTTATTAGCTATAGTAACGATTCATTTTATTTGTTTGAAACATTGAACAACTTTTGTTTCCTCGTTTTCTTTCTTCTACTATGATTATTTTATGAACTCGTGAAGTTCTTGGCTAGGTTTATTTTCAAAAATTAAAGAAACGATGAAAACGAGACCTCTTAACGAATAATTGACTAGTAAATATATAATATAAATATATAATATAAGTGTTTGTATGCATATTTGATAATACTGATAAAATATAGATTATGCAGACAAAAATTTTGACTTGATTTTACTGTAGAAAACGATATACATTAAAGTTTTGGCATTTAAATTTTGAGTACAAATTCCTTTTGCAATTTATATGAGTAATTTATATTTACATAAATACGTAGAAAATATAGATATTGTTTTTGAAAAATGCTTTTCTCTCAAAAATCTAGGTATGCGTATAATAAGTTTTTAAATATTTAATATTTAAAACGAAATTTTTTTTTTTAATAATTTTATTTAGAGAATTTTGGACAAACTTTCATATATTATGTTATATTTACATAGATTTCAAAGAAACGATATAAGATTTATCGAGTCATCAATTTCAATATAAAGAAAAGAGAAAAAATTTTAAGGAAAAACTAAATTTGTTAAATAATCGTTGCTGAAATTTTATCCCGCATGCAAACGAAGAATTATTTTCATACGGCTTCGAACAAAAGCAACCAAAGTATTTGCACAAAAGTTCTCGCGCAGCAAAAATCTTTAATACTCGCAGTTTAACTCTAAAAATATTCTTACGTGAAAATTTTAAATCTTTCTTTTTCGAAATTATCGTAGATATCGTTCCTACAAAACCTATTCGTTTTTTTACCTCCGCCATTTCTTCAACCTCTGAACTTCGAAGTCTCGAGAAAGTTGAAACGATAAGAAAATCGTTTATACTTAAATTAGTTGTGGAAGTGCTAGTTTGGTTTTCAAATTGAATAGTTCTCGAAATTTTCATAGCAATCAATATTCATTCTGGAAGAACTTCAAATTCAAATTTAAATTCTAGAAAAATTTATTAACTTGTTATTGAAAACAAAATTAAATGCATATCTGATTTTGTATTAAATAGCTAAACTTTAATCAATCATTTCTCTTAATTATCCATCCTAATATATTTTTGAATTTCTTCCATTACATATAAATATCCGATTTAATATCCATTATTTAACTTCTACTTAAACATAATAATCCAAGAAACAAGCTTACTCTCTTTCTGCTGAATATTTCATGATTAAGTTTTTACCTCAATAATAGATATTTATGTTAGGAATAGATATAGATATTATATCTTATATAATAGATATTTAATGTTAGGAATCTATTCGATTAATCTTTGATAATCTACAATAGATCAATAGATTGGATAATTTTCGTATCAAATATTAATTATTATTCGCGAGGATCATTTCAACAATTGCAATTATAATGATTCAATTTTACTTTACAAATCTTTATATAATCCCTTGTACTTTCAATCGAACTTTCATTTTGATGATCTAATAATTAATTTGTTTCTCCACTGGACACGCAAACATATTTGCAATCCACATTGTCATCTTTTCATCCGATAATTCGAATATTAATACGGAGACGGACGTTTTTCTCCTTTGTTCGTTATCATGCTCATGCTTTATATCTTCATTCGTGCATTCATCGAGGACACGGATGCAAAGACCAGAAAGGGGATGCACCGTGGTCGAAGAGTGAAATCCTACAAACGTGACAGGCGTGCCGACGACAACGGTACTAATACACGTGAACAACGAGCGAGGGGTGCTAAACTTTCGACACGTCCAGCTTTTCTCATACACGAACCAGTTTCGCGATCATATATACTCTTTTTTTTTTCTTTTTTTCTTTTTTCTTTTTTTTTTTTTTTTTTTTTTTTTTTTTTTTTTTTTTTTTTTTTTTTTTTTTTTCCCTCCCCTTCCTTTCTTTTTGTCCACTCGCAACAGAGAAACAAATATAAACGCGAGCTAGATGAAAAATCGAGCTGCTCATCAATTTTCTGGCCGATCGAAAGTTATCTGTCGGATCAATCTTTGCATGGTGACGCGAAAGAAGCGATATGTACACTATTATACGACCCAATAAATTTTTATTACCACCAGCTTTCTCCGTGGTGATCATCTCGAGTGTTTTCGATGCGGATCTGATTCGATACACGAGGATTTATCCGCGAACCGTTCTGTCGAATTTCATCGATCTGTGTCACGTCACAAATTTTGTTTTCAATCGAAATAAGAAATAAGAAATTTTTTTCTTGCTTAATTATTTCTTTAAGATATTCTTCCGTTAATTTTTAAAGGCGAAGATTCTTGTATAGAATAAGGTAGTTTTTACAATAAATTTTCATCCCTTCTCGCTGCTTGATATTGTCGGTTAGAAGATGCGAACAATATATCCACTTTAATTTCCCTCTCACCATTCTACCAAGCATTCTCTGCTCATAAATCTTTTGCCACCTTCGTTCTTCCACGATCTACGTATCTAGAAAAAGAAGCTGTGTATCCGTATCAAATAAGATCTTCTTCTTCTTGTTTGTTCTGAAAAATAGTTTCATAAGTAGCGATAAATTTAAAAAAAAAAAAAGAAATAATCGTTCTTCTATCTCCATAAAAATTCCTGGATTCGTTTCAACATTCTCTTATTGCTCAAAAAATAAATTATTACTACTTTTCTTTTTCTAAATACTTTTGTTTTGCGAATTTAAGATACAAGATAAAAATCCAATTCTTCGAGATGTAATCGAAAAATTACAAATTTTCGAAAAACTCCTCTCGAATCTGACGAAGTGTAAGTGTGAGTGTAAACCGAGTACATAAAATTTCTAAATTAAAATATTTATCTATTTGGGTGAACCACATTTTTCTATCACTATTTTCAAAAAATAATTTCCAACGATAGGGATTGAAAAGAGACAAAAATCTCTGATCGAAAGACAAAGATAATTTGTTTTCCGGAATTTTCTTCTCTGTTTGCCTCTCTCTTTCAAACTTCTCCTTCTTTTCTCTATTTCTGCGGATCGCTCATTCGATATCTGCATATATGCAGATATTTGAAACGCTTGTCATGTGCAGATCTCGGATACGGAACGTGCGCCGCATTTCCCGTATCTGGAGATCATAAAAAAAAAAAAAAAAAAAAAAAAAAAAAAGAAAAAAAAAAAAAAAAAAAAAAAAGAAAAAAAAAAAAAAAAAAAAAAAAGAAAAAAAAAAAAAAAAAAAAAAAAGAAAAAAAAAAAAAAAAAAAAAAAAGAAAAAAAAAAAAAAAAAAAAAAAAGAAAAAAAAAAAAAAAAAAAAAAAAGAAAAAAAAAAAAAAAAAAAAAAAAGAAAGAAAGGAAGAAAGAAAGAAAAAAAAAATAGATGAATCTGTGATCCAACCAGTATGCACGAGTTAATATCCCTTGCACTTTGAATCGGCACGTTGCACATTATTCTCTTAAATTGGATGCCGAATAAGGAGAAGAATGAAGATTGGTTTTCATCTCGATTTGTGAAAAAAATTTCTTTTCACGCTCGAAAGCATTTCTCAATTTTTTCCCTCTTATCATCCAAATACATTCGATGAATGTATCCACTACACTAATTTTCACAATATAAAATTTCTAAAAACACGAACGTTTATATTATTTGAATAACTAATTCCGTTTTGATGCGTAATTTTTTTCAAATATAACGAAATATCGAAGTTTATATGCGAGTGAAATCATATAAAGAGATAGATCTTTGAATCTCGTCTTTTGTATCTTTTTTTTTTTATTTTCGGGGAAAAATATTTTGTTTTGTTTGTTAAAAAACATCGTGAAACATCATCGATAATATTTTACATTCGAATAATTGTATTTGGGAGAAAGCTTATATTAGTTGAATATCTGAGGCAGCTAACAAACAGCTTTGGAAAACAGAGATGGAAAATTCAACGGTTGGATCAAATTGCCCATTAAACATGAATCAAGTCTGTTAACAAACCTAAGAAGCTTTTAAAAGAGTAATGTAATTTATGGATGCTGAATGATTAACCGGAGAACCGGGACATGAATGAACGAGACCATGGTGGAAATTGCTTGGAGTAATTTTTAATATGATAATTAGTGGAAGCAATACTGACGGAAGGTTGGGATGAAGAGTATGTGTAAGCAAGTCTATGTCAGATGCAGGAAAGCGCTTAAGTGCTGCTGCTGTTGCAAGACTGAAATGAATATCTTGATGTACAAGAAGACGTTTAATTACGGAAGGGTGAAAAATTATTAATAAGAATAGAAATTTGTTGTTGCTCCTTTGTGACTCGAACGAACACACTGCGTGTCTTTGATTCTATTGGTATAATTGTTTGTTAAAAAAAAAAAAACAAAAACAAAATTAAAAATAAAATGTCGATGTAAAAATATTTTTTTTTTTTTT